TATATCAGTTTTTTACAATGTTTACATTGAAGGTTTTATTCTACATGAAATGATAAAGTAGCGCTATCAAACTAGAGGTGCAATGAACAATAGGAAATTACAGAGAAAGGATCGGTACTCTAACATCAATCTTTTTAGTTTGACACTTCACTTTCTTCAAGTGTTTTGATCGAAACTATTGTTTTAACTTGAGCAGATAGGTTTCGAATGAAGTAATAAATTAATTTTCTGTAGTGTGTTTTTTATTTGAGATTTAATTCCTTTGCATGACGGAAGTGATACTTCGTTGTTTGTTTTTCTGGTGCAGTGTGGCAGGTAAATGAAAACTCTCAGTGGTATTCTTCATGTCAACCTTCCCCTAAAATACTACAGATCAAAGTGGAATCAGATCAAGGAGTAAGATACTTGGCCTTATCCAGTAGGGACCTTTTGAAAAGCCATCAATCTGTCATTTTCTCTTATTATTTTGTTTTCGGATAAGATTTTTCATTCTGCTCCAGCTGTTACCAACATTTCATGTATGTGTATTTCCATGGAACATACTTGGCTTCCAGAGACGAAGTGTTGAAATGTTTTTCGAGTGAAAATATCTGTGGATAAAGTAGGTTTTTAAAAGTAGACTCTTTCTATGCCGTGTAAAACGTAGTACCTGGTTGGGACATTATCTTCCGTACATAACTGCATCAATAAGAACAACAATGGGGATAGTACACGTAACCGTGGTTATATCGATGAGCGTTGTCATTTGGGGGACAATCTCCTTCCATACGAGGACAACAAGTCTATGAATTTCCTGAGGGGGAAGATGCTACTGTTTACTTCTACCATGACACTACTTCAAATGAAGCAACCTACTCCTACGACTTGTTCGCCCCCGATCAAGGCTGTGTATTCTGCGTCGATGCGATCATGGATACGTCTTGCCTTAAACCTGGACAAAGAGATCGAGTCCTGGTGCATTTCACTCGAAATAAAACCTCAGTGTGGGTGACTCTGCTGCTCCGGAGGATGAAACGCTCCGATAGAGGATTCCACGTCCTCATCATGAGGGAAAACATCGATGGTCGTGTTGCTAATCTCATCCAGGTTGCTTACATCGAGGCACTGTTTCCTCCCGGTGAGGCAAGATGTGATCTCCAATCCTCGACGTATACCTCGACATGGAAAGAACTTCACTGTACCGCAACGGTCGGCAATGACGGCAAAGGTAATCTCACTTGCTTCCAGAACTCTACGGAATGCGTTTTCCTGAGCCCCGTTAGCTACTCTCCAACCCTCATATCGGCTACTTTCTGGGTGGACATGGACTATCCTGTAAACTGCTGTTCGTTTGCTACTGATGCTTCATTGACACATCAGTCTTGTCGCCACTACACATACCCTCCAGCGAACAACGATGATTGATAGCCGTTCAACTCTGTACCATAATGTTTATAGTAGGAGTGTTGAGTAATCCTGGACACCTTTTAAGAGCTTTGTAAATGAACGACCAAACTCAGTTTAATATTGCATTGGCACCTGTACCACTACTAGCTTTAAGTGATACCTTAACTGGTTATATAGTTTAATTGGCTTATCGAATCCGTGTGTAATAGACCATTAAAGGTACTATGTCCCATTTGCAGGCCAAAAAAATGAAAAAGTTCAATTCCAACTGCATTTGAAAGATAATACTAATTTAGAACTTCCCTAAAAAAGGTGGGGCTTGAAAATGTCTTCAAGTGGGAAAATAACGACTATTAGTTGTCAAATCGACTTTAGGGCTATAGAGCCCAAAAGTAATAGTCTTGATTTTCAGACAATTGTACCGAATGGTCATACGTTTTATGCTGCGCAAAGATTCAATCAGTTTAATCTTGGCCATCACAAGAAGTGGGTTATTGATGTAGACAAATGCTCATGTATCCTTTACAACTCTTTTCATGTATGTTATTACCAAAGAAGAAAAAAGCCAGTCAGTCACTCAATAGTGTCTGACAGTGAAGTCTAGCAAGTAAACGGGTTTCCTTGCATAATTTGAATATTAGGACACTGCTAACGTTTTAATTTCACAGATAGAACATACATGACATATTCATAATTCTTGCAAAGTTCTACAGCATTTGAGGTTGGCTGCAAAAGGGACAAAGTACCTTTAATCTAACAAAATGTAATGAATTCGGTTTGTGAAGGGCCTCAATACGAATTATTCATTTACCTGTTTAATATGAATTATCTCAAAAGTCAAAATGCAAATTACATACATTAGTTATTGCTTGGTAGAAAAATATTATGCCTTGCCCTACCTAACAACCCGAAATATTATATGCAATTTGCATTTTCACTTCTGAAATATAGTATAACAAGTGAATGAAATAATTCGTTTCGAGTCACTTCACAAAGACGTATGCTTTAAATTGTGTGAATTAAGAAAATGGCCTATTCCGGTCAGTAGGTATAGCCAGATGGGTAGGAAAACTATATTGCACCATGGTAATTCTATAGGTACCTTTATAAATCCCGTTCATTAAAACTCACATTCCCACACACACACACATACACACACGCTCGCGCGCACACACGCCCACGCAAACACGCGCACACTCACCAGGCACATACACAATGTCAACATTATCTGCAAAATGTATAACGTAGATTGTACATATCATCTTCTCACATAAAAACAACAAAGAACACGAAATGCATAGCTATTCGTAAATGTATTAGTCTGACTGTCATCGTAATTTTTTAACGTGACGCACCTCCTTTTGTTTTTAGTCATTAAAAAAGATATCTTACCGCATTAATATTTGTAATGTAGATTCGTGTGCAGTAATGTTAAATATAGGGCCTATGTTTGTCGTTATAATCAGATAACCTTAAGTTAATATCAACTTATAAAAACAGTTATATTAATGAATAAAACTGACTTACTCTGGAATGTAGGAGTTTATTGAAAGATATGAAAAGTTACTTGTTCAGAAAACAGATTAATTTTAATAATAAGTTACCTATCAATATAAATAATATTTCTATTAGTACCTTCAAGGTCAAATATCCGCATGAAGAGAGTGTCCTACCATTTGAATCTGTGTAATTTGTTTGTATTATTCTTGCGTTAAGGATGATCATTCCTAGAATGTTACTCTAACAAAAATGGAGATGTAAAAACAAAAAGAAAAGAAAATCTAAATCAAATAAAAAAGAACTATTAAATACCGTGTGTTTCCAACGATCATATCATATTATTTGAAGTTTGTCACATACAATTTATCATCTGAAGTTCACCTCATTTTAAAGAACTTTCATTAAAACTACAATTTCGAGTACTTTGACAGCCGAGATACTTTTGTCTTAAAATGAAACCATTGTGTTGTACAGTGATAAACAGGTGCATATTGTGTCAAAATAAAAAGTAAGTGTTTCCTTTGTGATGTTAAGTGACTTGTTTTTGGTTTACAAGTTAGTATGAATATATCAATCACTTGATGAAAGCAATCTCCAATTGATATGATTGAATTTCTCGACTTGCTCATTTATCAAGATGCATGTAGTCTCTTAGTCCAAGAAAATCAGGTTCAGAATTGCCTTCTTTAACTTAATGGACATAAATATTACTTTGTCTGTCTTTACATAATTTATGATGAGCCCTTACAACTGTTCGAGATTGGAGAACACCCGACAAATCATGCAGTCTCTTTTGTAGTTTAGAAATCACATCATCTTTGTTTTAATGACAAAATAACTTATTTCAATATCATACATAGCAAAACAATTTTACTAAAGGGAATGGAATGATAATATTTTGGTAAGACAGCCCTCCCACCCCCCCCCCCCCCCCACCACCCCCTGGAAAAAATAACGTTTACGCCTTTGAGCTCAAGAATAAGCTACACAGCTATTTACACCCAAACAAGTCTCGTTGAAAGATACAATACATGTTTTTTCAAAGAGCCTATTTATCATATTGCCAAAACCATAAGTTGGTCGCCTATGATAATCATATTTGTTGTGGCGTTGCCCCACTAAACTCTTGAAGACATTTTATATTTATCTCCGAAAACTTTGTTATCCTCTCACTTTGTTTCACTCTCTGTTTCTATATCTTTACTCTGACTCTCTTGCTATCTTTCTTTCTTTCTCTCTTTCTCTCTCTCTCTCTCTCTCTCCTTCTTTCTCTCTCTTTCATTTTTTCTTTCTCTCTCTTTCTCTCTCTCCGTCTCGCTCTCTCTCTCTTCTCTCCTTCTCTCTTTTCTGATTCTCTCCTTTTTTTCTATAGCTGATAATACTCAAAATTCTTAACTTAATTCTCGTCCTCTATTTTTCCTTCTCCTCTCTCTCTCTCGCTCTCTCTCTCATTATCTCTCTCTCTCTCTCTCTAACTTTTTTTTCTCTCTCTCTCTCTCTCTCTATTTACCTTTTTCTATCTCTCTCTCTCTCTCTCTCTAATATTTCCCTTTTCTGTCTTTCCCTGAAACTCCATATATTAATCTCTTCTTCTTCTTCTCTACTCATTCTTATCTCTATTTCTCCACTTCTTTCCTCCCATCTTGTCTCATTCCGCCCGAATAGGGTTTCATTTCTTTGTTTGTATGGTTTTAGTTCATAGCAATGAGAAAGCAATGTGTTATCATTTCAAAGATTGTGCTGAACTTAATTTTTAACTTTGCATTGTATTCAAATTCAGTGATAAGATATTACTTTATTATAGTATATCTCGCTCCGGAGGATACAATGCAAATAAATATATTCTTTATGGTCACCTTGATGACATATATGGTACAAAGTATACTTTACAAGTGTTATGAATAACAATTGCGGTGTTCAGGGCATTGGGTAGGCTCGCTTGTCAGTTAGTCATTCGGGATTTACAAAGTTTTTATTCTGCTATGAAGCCACAAACTGAGTTTTAACGTTTTCTACTATTATGTTAAAAATTTAACCAATAAGCCCCCTTGAGGTGATTTTTATATTAAAGTTTAGTCAGGGTTTCATTGAATTGTTTTTGATTGTTTTTTTTTAATGCTGCTATTTGTTGTGGTTATTTTGTTTTAACTGAAAGAAGCAACTTTTTAATTAACTCTTTTTTTAAAAACACAGTGTGCACTTAACATCCCTGATAATTATCATGTTTTAAAGTTTGGTAAAGATGTAGCATGTTGGAATTGATGGTAGAATATCGATCACCCGCAAGAACTTGACCTTTACCTGTAAATAAAAAGATAATTAAAAGCTTTGTTAATGATTTATGAAATTCTAAGTTGTAATGTTTGAATCAATGATATTTTTGCATTAGGTGGTTTTTAAATCAACGATTCCTCTTCCTTGTTGGGTTAAAAATAACAATAGCGCCATCTAAAGCTCATTAGATGTTTGAAGTTTTGGTTCCTTTCGGGAAAATATTATCCAAACAATCTCCATGTGATTGAAATTATTATATTTACACTCATGTATCTACAATACTTTGAAGGCATACGTGTTCTTAACTTGTTGACGACTGAATTCTCTCATTCCTATACGCGTAATACAGCGTATACCGGTTCCATTAGGAAAAGGGTTAAACTATCGAGAAGAAATGTTGGAAATATTATTTTGCGTAATTAAAACAGCTGTAATCACTGAATCGAATTGTTTGAATATCTATAAAACTGTACGTATTTCTTTTAAACAGATAGGGCTCATATTTTGTTAAAGGTTGTTTAATTTGAAAGGGCTCTCACTTAAGGTACACATGTATCGTCAAGGAACTGAATGAATTTAATCATTATAGAAACAAAAAGTTCATGGGCCAATATAAAAACTTTAAAAATAATGACGGTTTATGTTACATGTACCAGCTTCTTGTACTTACTTGAGTACATTTAACCGATCATCCCACACGCTTTGCGGACATCATTGGCTAGTTTCTTGATGTCGGCTGTCTCATAATACCCATCTTCTACGTCTTCTGAAATCAGCTCTGGAAACGCCACTGACATACGATAGGCTACAGATGTGTGTATACATCGGAGGACAAAAACAGGGCTCTGATTAATATGTGGTATATAATAATTAATTGATGTTTGTTCGTAATTATGATGTCGTACTGGTAGTGAGTTAGGGTATTCAGTCCCATTGCCCCTGTGCAGTATTTCGATTTTGATTTGATTTGATTTGATTTATTTTTGTTTTACTCATTACGCTTTTTAATTAATGGCCTGTATATGATATTGAATTGATGGTTTAAATTATCTTAGAACACTGGCGTAATGATAGGTTATTAGGGGATTGCAGACCCCCCCCCCCCCCCCCCCATCCCCTCAAGTTCTATATCTCAATTTTAAAAAACGTATTCTCTCTCATTATTTTTGTTTGTGGGGGGGGGGGGCTTATTTAGCCTCTATATGGAGGTCTTTATCAATGCTTTGATGTACGATTCGGAGGGAGGAGGGAATATCCTATAGAGAATATAAATGACGTCGACAAGAACAACTGTAACGACGGCAAAGATTCATGATGAAATATGGTATGCTTTCATTATAGGTATGCTCCATACTTAAATTGTATATAATCTTTTTAAACAAGTCGTCACCATTTTTACTATTTTATTTATTTTCATGAAGTGATAACCAAGTAGGGCCTAAGTTTAGTTATTTTTAAATGATAGAAACTCAATTGTTATATCATGGATGTCGTGAATGATTATTAAACCAAAGATGCTCGTAATGTATACAAAAAAACCTGTGGACAACAATCAATGCTGACAGCAAGGGAACATTGATTGATATTAAGTTACAGAAAAAAAGTGGGTAGGAATGAGAACTCGACGAAAGAAAAAGAACTACTCAGATTTATAAAATTGCTGATAGCAATTAAATCCACCGCCGCCTTTTGTACGGCTAAGCTGCAGCTACAATCTTGCATAAGAACCTTAGAACGGGGGGGGCGTTTAAGTCTAAGTTATGGACATGCCTGGTGTAAATTATATCAGACTTGTTTTTTTTTTGTTTTTTTAGCAGATGTTTCTGCATTTATTGATAAATCAAATATAAAACATTCAAATAACAATAATAGTATATAATATAATTGATTTACGTCAAGAGTGACAACTTAATACACACAAAATAAAATATTTTAAAAAATACATAATTGAAAGCTTGAAAGTATGGAGGTAAGTAAAAATAATCAAGATAAATGCAGAGGCCAACTATCATAAGCAAGGAAGCTTGAGTCGATAGCAGCCGATGGGATATTCAACAAGACTCATGACGGTTTCGAGAAACGTCACACAAAAGGAGGAAAATGAGGATTAAACAAGACTTGGCCTATTGGTGGCGCACTTACTTAATTCTTTTGAAGGAATGCTATTCACCATACCACAGCCTGATTGGACGCCCTTCTTGATTCCATTGCCAATCGTCTTGCCTGCTTTCTTAACCTTGTTAAATGCCTTCTTGAACCAGTTCTGGATCTCTACGTCACCTAAATCATGATCGTCATCATCTGTGATTTGAAAGAGATATATAGAAACATGAAATTGTAGACAAACCTTCAAATCTCATAATCTTGGTATGTAGATCATTTCATTCTCAATAAATTGTACAAGTACAATTTTCTTCATCTCTGTCCCTCTGTCTTTTATCTCTCTCTCTCTCTCTCTTTCTCTCTTTCTCTCTTTCTCTCTCCCTCTCTCTCTCTCTCTCTTTCTCTCTCTCCTGTTTCTCTCTCTACTTTTACTCTTTCTCAATCTCTTTATTGTTGTTAGTGTTTAATTGATAAACGAAACATCGTACGAACAGAAAGAAGGCAAAAAAATGTATCCCTACGAAATTTAAACAAACTATTTCTTTATAGCTTCTAACATTAAGAAACAACTGCTCATAGTAAAAGTTCCTTATTAAATTTAATTATTTTTAGAAATTATATAAAATATACCCAACACGTCACAATACACAGCAAAACACAACACTGCAGAACACAAGATGATGCAACAAAGCATCTTTGTTCTAATTGAATCTCCGCGCAGCTTACCTAGCATATCTTCAAGCATGTATTCTTCAAGCTCTTCATCAATGCCATAGACGTGCCCCAGCACCACGGCCAACGCCAGGCACAGCAAGAAAACAGTCACTTTCATCTTGATACCAAAAGCTCTAAAAAGGAGATAGACAACGGATATCTTATATAGTAAGGTGTATCAGAATGACTTTACATACTATCCATGAAGGAAAAGGCTATATCAATCTTATTTATATAAATATCGAAACTTTAAATGTAATCGTCTTTTAACTATACACTCTTGACGGAATAGTTCATTAAAATCGTTCCTTAATAATCAACTCATTTGATTGTGAGCATCAACGGAAAAACAAGACAAGAATAATTGTGTTTTTAACGACAGTTCCCATTCTATTGGCCGTACTATCGGGGCTATTTTGGAGACCAGCTGAACATTACAAATTATCGGGTATTACAAAATGGAATTAGTTTTGCTTGAGTTGTTGGACCGTTTACATTTCAAACTGTTCAACTCCAATCCCTCCCCCCCCCCCAAAAAAAGGTGTTCCCTGTAGAGAGAATTCTCCGGAGAAAAACTCTCACACCTAACAATTTCTGACTGAAAATTATCTAACAAAATATAGAGAAAAAGTGAAAAGTATGGGGTGTATGTAGCATTAGCCTTCCTCCAAGTAGAATGTCCTCTTGAGTCTAGATTATTTGCAAGAATGATCAAAATGTTATGGAAGAATTCAAATATATAAATATCTTAAAGATACTATGTCCCTTTTGCAGCTAACCTCTAATTCTGTAGAACTTTGCAGGAATTATGAATATGTCATGTATGTCCTATCTGTGAAATGTAAACGTTAGCAGAGTCCTAATATTCAAATTATGCAAGGAAACCCGTTTACTTGCTAGACTTCACTGTCAGACACTATTGAGGGAGTGACTGGCTTTTTTCTTCTTTGGTAATAACATACATGAAATGAGTTGTAAAGGGTACCTGAGCATTTGTCTACATCAATAACCCACTTCTTGTGATGGCCAAAATTAAACTGATTGAATCTTTGCGCAGCATAAAATGATGACCATTCGGTACAATGGTCTCAAAATCAAGACTATTACTTATTGGCTCTATAGCTCCTAAGTCGACTTGACAACTGATAGTCGTTATTTTCCCGCTTGAAGACATTTTCAAGCCCCACCTTTTTTAGGGAAGTTCTAAATTAGTATTATCTTTCAAATGCCGTTGGAATTTAACCTTTTCATTTTTTGGGCCTGTAAATGGAACATAGTACCTTTAAAGTAGGTATAGAAATGAACGATAACAATTGATTTGTTAAATCAGCGCTGCGATAAATGACTATCACATGCTTGATACTAGCTCAAAAGATTACATCACTTTGATACAAAATAGAAATATAAAAATAATGATAATCTGATATAAGAAGTTAACAAGTTTGATGACCGAAGGAATATGAAGGAGAAAAAAATTCATATAATTACCTGAGGTCAATAACGAGGGGATAAGTTTAACTTCTTAGTACACGGCTGACCGGTCGACAATGTTGTAGTGTGCTGCAACAGTCTGGCACTTTCTTGATATATTTATGGAGATTGTATTGTGAACTTCCTGTTTCCCTCCAAAGCAAATGGGCGGGTTCGTTGATCAGGAAAGGTATGAATATACAAGTCATAATTTCGTCAACTACAATGTTATGAAAGAGATAATTTGAAAGAAAATAAATATAATGGTATAGTCCTGCTCTTATTGGCCAATGGTGGTGAGCACGTGACGTTCAGATATGCGGGTATACGCACAGGTAGGATGGGCTTAATATCTTCCTTATACTAAATTCGTTGATACCATCTGTATTAGAAAAGACAAAGGATATGGTCGAAGAAAATCGACAAATATTAAAATATAATTTCCATAATAAGTTACTTTTTTTTTTTTAATTGACAAAAACGATAGATTGAGATTTTCGTCGGTTTATTTAGTGTCATGTCATACATAATTCGTGGAATTATCACATTCAATAACAAGCTCAAATTATTTCGTTTGTTGTTTTTTTTCGTTATTATTGGTGTCGTTTTTTTCGTTTGCAAAAGTGTAGTATCATTTCATAAATCCTGATTATTATTCACTTTCCATTGCATACAATAATTCTTTTTTCTTATCTATCATCCCCCCACAAAATACGTATAGTTCAATCTCTCCTTTTTTTTTGTATATTTCCTGCAAAATGCCCGATTAGCTCAATGTCAAAATAGGGCAGATACTGGAAAGTTACCCTTTGGAAGTGTATCTTTATCCAGGTACTTCAACACATCCCTGCTTCATCCATCTCACTTCAGGTTTCTTCTCCAAGAAGAGATATCTGACAGATTTTACTTACTATTAAAGAAAAAACATTACAATCTAACCTAACGATCTGTCTACCGTACCAGCTGTTTTCATGGAGTATGACTTGACTACACTTACTGTCCGCAATGCGATGCCATTCTTAGAGCTCTCATCGCATATGGTTTGGTGATCAGTCAATCTTATGATGCACTACGTCAGAGATGATTGATAGGTGTAGAGGTGAGTCCCTCTAGAGGGCGCTTTATAGGTGGCTCTTTTTAGTTATCTTGTTATTTTATTTTTTATCCTATCTGGACCTACATGTCGGGTCAGACCTAACACTCGCCACTTATTTTCCTTCTGTCTTGTGGTTCATCTCCTATAACTCAGATAGTCGGTATTGATCAACTCGAGATTTTGCAAATAAGGTGAGTTCTTAACTATTTTATCCATTCAAATTGAGTTTAAATACAGAAACGAAGGCGTAGGAGTGAAGGAATAGAAGAAGGAAAAGAGGACATTGTCGAAAAAGCAATCGTATAAAATGCATACGAAGGAAGGGTATATGTGTGTTGTGGGATGGTAGCTAAAGAAGATACTATCCATGTAGCATTTGTATCAGTAGTAGGAAAAATGAACTTCTATATGGATGTTAAAAAAAGGGATTATTTTACTTTCCGATCACAACGAAAAAGTGTAAGGATGGGACAAATGCTTGCAATGCAAACGGCTTATTATATATTGCTTCACTAATTAGTATGACATTTCGTTAAAACGTAAATTGTTCGTACACTCTAAGAAACAAGGGTGCAAAAAAGGGTGCAAAATAAGAGTTTGCACGCTTTACATAAAAATGAACCCTATAGACCAAAAAAGGGGTGCGAAATAAAAGTTTGCATATTGCATGCATTCATGATTACTTCACACGTGTTCACATACAAATACATTTATCATAATTTGTTAAGCAAATTATGACAATGCACATCAATTTTGTGATTTTTGTTTTCCTTCGGCAATCATTAACCAATAGATTATATTGTCTGATCATGTTACAATTACATTCACGTTTTAGCAATAGATATATTGATTATATGATTACTAACCAAGAAACAACATGCATGTTTAACATGTATATGTGTACGAGCAAATTTCACGAGTATTCCTCGAGTATGGGTGCAGAATTGCACCTTTTAAAGGGTGCAGGATTGAACCCCTAAAGGTGCTGTTATTGCATCAGTTTGCACCCCTAATGGAGTAGGATTGAACCTTTAAGGGTACTAACATGTCTCCTAAAAGGTTCAATCTGGCACCCTTTTAAAGGGTACAGAGATTGCACATTTTAAAAGGGTGCAGGATTTAACCCCTAAAGGTTCTGTCAGTGTTGCATCGGTTTGCACCCCCTAAAGGTGCATACTTGCACCATTTTTTCTTAGTGTGTATATTTCCCTTTTTTTATATCTGAAACATTATTGTTTTTTATTTGATTTTTGTTCTCGAATAGGTTTACGAAGGTGGTGACTCCATAATGAAGTGGACCCTCATTTTCAGTTTGGTGCTGTTAGCGGTGATCGGGTTAGACCTCGGACAAGCTACATACCATCAAGATTTCGATTTGACAGAAGATGAATACCTCACACTCATATGGATGTGATGGAAGGTAAGACACTTACATTTCACTTGAAATGAAAGAGAGAGAGAGGGGGAGAGGAGAGAGTGTGAAAGAGAGAAAGGGAGAGAGAGAGACCCGCAAGCCTTGTTTAAACGCGACTTGATAAAATACATATTATTAAAGAAACCGCGGCAAAATAAAAACTTTTTCCATGTAAATAACATTACCTTCTTTTTTTATTTGATGAGGAGCATAACTTTAAACAAGGTCATACACAGACAGTGAAAGTATATATACATGATTATCATATAATGATATAATAATAAGAAAAGAAAACGAAAAACGACCAATGCTTGTTTTTATTTTCTTTCATTTTATAAAGCTACATATCCATTGTGCGAATGCTTAAGAAGCGGGCATTACATGTTTATATAATATATCTCATAATTTGTACATGCTTTTTTTGTCTTACATCAGAAATTAAAATCTCTTTATCAAGCTTATCAAGCCTGAATATATAAACTAGCCTTCGTTACTTTTTTTAATAATAAAGCACCCCCCCCCCCCGGAAAAAACAGAAAACAGAATAGTCCGCAAATCACTTTCATTCAAAAGAAAATCAAGATTAAATCCACGAACAGTCGTATTTCATTATTACCATTATTTCAAATCGAAAGGGAATTATGTCACTCTATAATACTGGAAACTCTCATGTACCTACATATAGATTCCGGAACTGATTTTGACTAATGCCACTATCTCAAGCAGGTTTATGATAACCCAAAATTGAAAAATCATTTTTGTTTTAATATTTTCATTTTTACACATTTTTAAAAAAATGTGGCAGATTCGGACGCTGGGGGCGATGTTCGTCTGTCTAGCTGGTTCAAGAAAGCTTTCAATTCTGCAAAGAAATGGACGAAGAAAGCAGCTAGTGACGCAGGAAAATGGACTAAGAAAGCGGCCAGCGATGCCGGTAAATGGACGAAGGGGGCTTTGAAAGACGCAGGCAAGGCCATCCAGAAAGGCTGTGGATACGTCAATGAGATTCCTGTCAAAGAACTCGGTAAAATCTTCTTTGATGTATTTTAATTTCTTTCCTTGTTAGGAATAGCTTGATGTCAGAAAGTCAGACTCTATATTTAAGCATAACTGTGATGGAGATGATGATGATGATGACGACGACTACGACGACGACGATGACAAATAATGATGAAGTTGACGATGTTGCTGACAATGATGACGATCATGATGATCGCTTCTCCTTATCTTAGATGTATTATGTATTATATAAATTTATAATCAGTTTCCGCTTCTCAAGGGTGCTAATTTCGCTTTTTCTGAAATGCAAGAGAAAATTCAAAGTTCTTAGTTTTCAGATAGCATGGTCCAAGTCTTAGCCTATATCCTCTAAAAATTATATGATGGTAATTGAAGATCATAATGATTGATGATGATGATGATGATGATGATGATGATGATTGATTGATGATGATGATGATGATGATGATGATTATGATGATGATGATGATGATATGTGATGATTATGATTATGATGATGATGATGATTGATGATTGATGATGATGATGATGATGATGATGATGATGATTGATGATGATGATGATGATGATGATGATGATGATGATGATGATTGATGATTATGATGATGATGATGATGATGATTGATGATGATGATGATGATGATTGATGATTATGATGATGATGATGATGATTGATGAAGATGATGATGATGATGATGATGATGATGATGATGATTATGATGATGATGATGATGATGATTGATGATTATGATGATGATGATGATGATGATTGATGATGATGATGATGATGATGATGAAGGTGATGATGATGATGATGATGATGATGAGGATGAGGATGATGATGGTGATGGTGATGATGATGATGATGATGGTGAAGGTGATGATGATGATGATTATGATGATGATGATAATTTAAGATGACGATTGCTCTTTAAATTTGTAAACACGACAATCATTTTTAGATGTACAAACATGTATGCATTTTTCCAGATTTACGATAGTATAGTGTGCTGTAATGGCCGGTAGTTTAATCACTATGCGCTTTCGACAAAGGGCATTGTTAAAACCTACAACAAATAACGAGTTATAAGATACTTAATAAAATTTCCATCATCATGTCTTTGAATTTTCTTTCCTCTTTCTAATCATCTCTTTGTTTCTTTGGTTCAGTTTATCACAGGGCGAGAGAGATGAGAGAAGAGGACTTCACGTCTGATGTTAACGAGGAACAGCTAGCAGCTGCTTATAACGCATTGAAAGCTGGTTGCAAAGTAGTTGGAAAGTAGTAGAATCCATCGATATATTCATACCATCTCTCTATGCAGAGTTGTGGAAATCCACTCATATTAGGAGTTATATCAATGGGAATCTTCGTTTGGAAATGGACTCAACTTCATAACTAGTGGATTTGACTCCGAAGTCATAAAAATAGTGGTTAGAATTACTATTTTATGTTGCATTTAAAGGTAATACAAAGTTTTGGTATGGGGTCATGAATTTGGTTCAAATGAACATATTGGAAGCATAAGTGATCCTACAATATGCAGTGATCGTTGATGCGTTTCAACTCAAGTCTAAAGTTATGAAATTGTAAATAAGAACTCTTTATGTTGTATAGCTCCCTCTCAAGCTAAAGATATTAATTAAGCTATAAAACACACACACACATATAAAACAATGTTTCTCGACCAAAATTGACCGATTACTTATTCCCGTCTGGAAATTATATATCATATCTACATATTCTGAGATTTTCATGGTCGCAGCTACTATTGTACGGCTGTAGGCGCTATTTGAAATTTATCAAAATTTATCGGGAACACCGGTAAATTTTAATTTTCAATTTTTCTCGAAACAGAAGTGTTTTAGGAGCTAAATTTTCTAGTGCTAATAAAACATCCATAGGGGCATCCAAATATATCAAAATTGTAAAGAATTACTATCCACCCAATTTTCAAAATTTCCCAAAACTTTGCATTACCTTTAAAGATTTTGAGCGTATATTTCGACTCCGAAACGAGGTAGTCGTTAATATGACCCATAAAAGAGTGGGTTTCTACATAATTCGTTTCAGCAGCATTCGTGAATAACATTATTAATATAAATCACTTACCAGGCATGATTAATACAAGTTATTGTACGAGGCATAGCTTCGATACCGTACCTGGGCACCTACCCCCTGGACATCCACCCCCCGGATAACCCCCCCCCCCCCCCAAGTTAACTATCCCCTAGGACAGCTACCCCCAGGACAAATACCCCGGACAACTATACCCAGACAACTACCCCAGACAATTACCCCCTAAGACAACTACCCCATAGAACAACTACCCCCCCCCGGACAACTACCCCTTATGCCAGTTGTCCGGGGTAGTTGTCAGGTTGGTAGTTGTCTGGGGGTAGTTGTCCTAGGGGATAGTTGTCCGGGGTAGTTGTCCTAGGGGGTAGTTGTCCTAAGTGGTGGTTGTCCGGGAGTAGTTTTCCGGGGGTAGTTGTTCTAGGGGCAGTTGTCCTAGAACCCTTCGATACATTTTAATTCCCCTTCTAAGTGTAACAAAGATAGTGAATACCCATCAATCCTCTTATTATTGAGAAGAAAAAAATTACTTCATGAATATTACTAGTAACTTAGGGATCAAATTCAGATATCGATAATTTCCATGTTTTAGTCCTCTTATAAGATTATGTGAATATAATAGAAAATCAAGAAAACACTGTATTGAAAAGGACCAATAAATTTGATAAATAAATAGAGACAAAAACGATTTCTTGTTGGTCTGACTTGTTTATTAATTGACAAATATTATCATTGTGTTTGAACTTCGTCCTTGATAAGATAGAATGAACACGCTCGTAAACCATGCTATCGTAGAATAGGCGGCACGTGTAGTACCGGATGTTCATTTTCCGTAGGTTTGTAAGTCCAGAGGTTTGTAATCTGTAAAAAAAAAAAAAAAAATTGAACCCGGCCCAATCTCATTTGTTGTTTTTGATGATAATAATAGTGAGAATGATGATAGTCATGATGGTGATGATGATGATGATGATGATAATGATGATAATGATGAAGATGATGATGATGATGATGAAGATGATGATGACGATGATGATGACGATGATAATGACGGTGTTGTTGGTGATTGTAATAATGATGATGATGATGATGATGATGATGATGATAATGATAATGATGATTATGATAACGATGTTGCTGTTGGTACTTGTAATATGATGATGATGATGATGGTGGTGATAACTTTGATAATGATGATGATATTTCACTAGACAAGGACCGAGATTAAATGGTAAAATAACACCCATAGCATGCACTTCCATGCAGTATGTACATTTATCATTCATCCTTCAGATGGCAAGCATGGCCGGACCTGTTTCACGGCATAAAACTTGATATAACAATTACCAGAATAATATATGACAAAATAGCTATAAAACAATTACATGCTGCGATTTCAGGAGCTTATAATAATGATTGGCATGTTCCATGGCACGGCTTGCTAGTCTGTTATAGGAGCACGTAACGCTATTTCCTCCTTGAGAAACAAACACTGGTTTTCCCCACTTGTTTAAAGGAACATTACATACGTGATAACGAGCGATAATTCTATTGAGAATGAACATTACTAGTTTACAGTGAATTCGGGCTAGTGATTCTGGTCCAAATCTACAATGTTAAGTAAAACTTAATGTCTGACACCTTCTTAAATTTTGCGAACAGTTCTCCGCATACTTCTTCATGTATCGTTCCCATTTTATGCGTCATATCCTTTCTATCTAAGAGTTTTAAAACCCTCTTTCTCTAGGTCATGTCAAAACAAAAATCCTCCACATGAAATATTTGTCAATAACGATGTAAAAGATGAAATGGTCTCAGTGTCTTGGAAAATAAAAATGCATAAATGCAGGGGATGGTCCAGCATTGTCTGAGAGAGGGACAGATTTTGTTTTCAGACATTATTAACACGATCGCAACTACTTTCGAGAAAAAAAATCAGCTTAAGCAATCTCAATAGCCTTGTGCGTAACCTATTGAAACGTGCGAACATGAAGATGACATATTACGTAGTCGGAACCTGATTTCTATAGGACGTACAGTTGGGTATCAAAATTGCCCTTGTGATGATTTTTCGAAAATAGTTGCGATCTTTTTTTCTTTTTTTTTCTTTTTTGCACATGAAGAATAATTTAGAAATCCCATCGGACCTCTAATAAGGTTGGAGAGGGGTGGTAGAAACAAAACAAAATCTGAAAAATTTTCCCCAAACTGTTTTTTTAAACAGTTAAGACAGCAACAACCAACAACCTAGTATGGTTTAAATTCTTCACACTATTATTCTATTGTACCTAACCATAAATATGGGACAAAGTAATGACAGATAAACAATTCTCCTGAACACAATCACGTATGATCCGATCATAATTTGTGTAATTTCTTGCTTGTTGTTGTTGCTGGTGTTGTTGTTGTTTTTGTTGTTGTTGTTGATGTTATTCTTCATCTACTTGATGACACTCCATGTCCCTTTCAACTATATTTTAATTTTAAAACTGTATAATAGTCGGATCAAAATTAGTTCTTTAATTGTAAGTTGTATATGGATGCCCAAATCATATTTCATCGTGTGCATGATTTGTCAGTAGCATACCTTTAACCACGATTAATTATTGCATGCCCTGGATATGAGGAGCCTAAATATTCTTTGTTCTTGCACAATACATACATTTTCACGCGATCCGAGGTTATGGTGGTTTCGCAATACCGTTACAGACCAATTGTATCACTGTTTAAATGTCGAAAGAATTTGAGTAGACCTCTAGAATTCCCCAGTCACGTCGATAACCGATAACACATTGTCCTTAATGCGGGGGTTGTAATTGTTTGTTTGCTCTGATATCGGTCTGACATGTCTGATGTCGGCCTCATCAGTATGACTGGGGTGGGTACAAAAGAAAACTGGGGAATCCCACAGACTCTTCCATTATAACACGAGGGGATACGTCTAGCATTCTCTGAATGAGGGGTCTCTGCTAACCAAAATTACTAATGATTTGACAAAATTAATGATTTAATGGAATAAAGAAAATTTAGACAACACCTTACATTTTTCTTCTCTCTTTCTCTTTTTCACGATGAACGAGAAGGTTGTTCTTAAATTGATAATTCATAATTATATACATGAATTTAGCATTGTAAAATAAAATAAATTACCCCCAGGATTATTCAATATGAAGTTATCGATACGGCATGTGCACTCGACTAAAATTTCACCGGCAAGGCTAACGCCTCGTTCATGGATTATAAATAATGCCAGATAGTGTGAAGTTCCTCATTTCGTTACTCCTACTTCATCTGATTTGATCACTGGGCACGGAACATGCAGAAAGGGGGTCGACTTTCCACTCTCTTTTGCAAACGTGGATGCTCTGATCACAAGATGGACTCAGTATTTCCTTAGTGACCACGTGAGTTTTTTCTAGGATATCATACATGTATCTATCTCTTAATGCGTTTTCTACTTATACAAGTTAACACAAGTCCATTTTTGTTTATTAAACTTCTTTTATCACATCCAAAAGGAAAATTTAGCTACGCTTGACTAGACCAATTTGATTTTTCAAAATGACGTCATTAGATCTTTGAATTTGTTTTATCTGTCGTCTAAGCTAAGACAAGTGCTAACGTATTTAGAGTACGGCTAAGACAACTTTCTTAAAGGTAAAGACCAGTTATGGTCATGCGATTGCATTGTGAAAGAAACGTTGTGGAATCGATCAGAAAAGGTTGATCATCTAGCATCTAGCATCTGCAAGGTTCTGGAATCATCAAAATGATAAGAAATTTGGCCCATTCTTCGTAAAGTTACAGGCACTATACACAGAAAGATGTATATGGGACTACCCTATATCTCTCACAGAACATGAGAGAAATAAATTTACCAAATATATGAATTAGTAGGCGGTTTCCCGGCAAATTTTTTATCATCATGTATTAGTCAAAACATATTCTTTCACATGATTGGTAATGAGAGCTTCCATTTCATTTTTTGAAATTGGGGCGTTTCCAATACTGGTCTTTACCTTTAAACTAGACAAAATGCTGTGATATTTCTCTTAGACTAAAGAAAATGTTAGTTTATTGAATACGTGCCTAGACATCGAAAATTTTACAGGTAAATTTTCCTTTTGGATGTGATAAAAAAATCATCATCACAACCATCCTGATGAAACTCTTTCCTAAAAAGTCTATTTTCTTATTCATTTATCTTTCTTTCTCTTTCTCCGCCTCCCCCCCCCCCCCTCTCTCTCTCTCTCTCTCTCTCTCGCTCACACACACTCTTCTCTTGATCCCTCTCTCGCTCCCTCGCTCCCTTTATCTCTCTCTCTCTCTCCCTCTCTCTACATTTCCCTCTATCCCCTATCCACTCTACGTTTCTCTAAACCCTTTATCTTTCTTCAGTTGTAAATTTGGACAGCTTTTCCTCTTATTCCACTTCTTCTTGCTTTCTTACATGTCATTCTATATAGTTTTATCTCCGTTTTACGGTTTTGTTTATTCCAAACAAAGACGAGATCTTTACAACGTTG